CTGAGGGCATTCATTAGAATGGTGCCCAAGCTGATTACACCTGTAACACTTTATCGCGGCTGGTTTAGTATAAGGGTTAGGGTTCGCAGTTTTCTGTGCTTGCGTTCCCTTATCCCTCGGCTCGTTCATAGGGCGCTTTTCTACCACCTTATCTTCCTGATTTCGCCCTGCGTTAAAGCGATTATTGAAACTGCTCTTTTCTACCGAACTGCTCGAGCTGCTATCTCAATAATTTTCGTAGCCTCTTCTTCCCTTATCTTGCTGCATCAATTCTGCCTTCTCGCCATATTCTTGGCTTCAGTTAAATTTCGCAGAAACTGCACTCCAATTTTATCTCGAATGAAGGGTTTCAAACCATCAAGATATCTGGCCACCTGCTGTCCCTCCGTCTCTAATAAATTATTCCGCTCCGCCAATCTCATAAATTCGGCCATATACTCATGCGCAGTCCGATTGCCCTGCTGGCAACGTTGGTATTGCTGGAACATAATCTGCTCATAGTCGGGTGGAAGGAATTCTTGCTTCAGCAGCCTCCTCATCCTAGTCCAAGTTCGAACTCTCTCTTTCCCTTCTCGTTCTCTCCTATTCTGTAATCTCTCCCACCATGCAGACGCACCGCCCTTTAATCTACAGGCTACTAATCGCACCCTTTTCTCACCAGGGGTCTCCATATAGTCGAAAAATCTATCTATATCGGCAAGCCAATCCATAAATTCTTCTATGCCTAGACTACCATTAAAATAAGGGATATCGAATTTCAATTTAAAGTCGTTACCTTCACGATCGTCATAGCGTCGTCTTCTATCTCTCCGATCATATCCTCTTTGAAATCCTCCATGACGACGTCTGCCGCCATAATTAGCACGTTCCTCATCAAAATTTTCAGTTTCTTCTTCTTCCGAACTCTCTGAAAATAGAGGGTTATTCTGCCTGCGAACAGGAACAGGCCTATCAACAGGATCACCGCGAGCAAGATCTGCACCCGGCCTTCTGTTGTTCCGCCGATTCCGGTTCACATCAATGCCGAGACCTTCGAATCGTTCTGTTAACTCGTCAAATCGTTCTTCGAAACGACGAAAACTTTGATCGAATCGTTGATCCAAGCGTTCCATCAAACGTTGCTCCAAACGTTGCAGCGCGTCGTCCCCAACGGTTGGGGCTCCAGTCTCCTGAGCATCGTCATGAAGACCACCGCCAGTCGCCATAGGCTCTGATACCACCTGACGCAGCGTTCCGCGAATAATTCAAGCAAAACCTTGCTTAGAGAGAAAAATCTCGAAATTCAATATTGATGATAAGAATGTTCTGTCTTCAAAACAACCCTAAACACCCTTTTATAGGGGTTAAACCTAATTACAATAAGAAACCTAATCATAATAGGAAAGTTACCTAATCTAAATTGGAAACCTAATCATAATAGGAAAGTTACCTAATCTAAATTGGAAAGCGTAAAACATCAAAATTAGAAAAATGCCTTTTTAAATTAACTCATAAAAAATATCCGATGTCGTCGATCGGGCCCACCGGTTCTAGTCACATCACTGTTTCGCCTTCCGTTTGGACTTCTGCCTGTCCAATCGGTCCAAAAACGCACCACTAATAGATTCCGCATCACCCGAGCATCTCCTGCTTCTATGTGACTAGACGAAACACATTTGGTCAAACCCCGGCTCAACCTTGACACTTCCCCGCTAAATATAACAAGAATCGATAAAATGGTTATTTGACAACTTATCTAAGCGAGCTGACATTTCCTCACAAGCTCTCCTAGCCGGCACTCTGTGGCTTATTTGAAAAGAAAGAAAATCCGTGGTGTTTAGAAATCACAAACCGAGATCTGCCCATCTAGTCGAGGAAGCTACCAATTTGTATAAGTTCTTTGTGAAATGGAACCCAAGCAAAAGGAAACAGAAGAGAGAAGATAGAGTACCTCTGGATCTTGGCAGATGGCTCCCGCCGCCCCCTAGGAACTCTGAAATTGAATGTCGATCTCTCCTAGTGCAGTGAGTCTAGAGTGGGTTCAGTGGCTGGGGTATGTAGAGATGCTAATGGGCTCCTTGTGGCCTACTTCGCCAAGAAAATCCATGTTGTGTCGGCCCTCGTAGCTGAAACCCTAGCGGCGTGAGAAGGTGAGAGTGGAAAGTGATAGCTTATCATCAACTCTTCATATCTTGGGCCAACTAGAAAGCCCATGGGTAGTCCGGTCCATCATTGAGGATTGTCAGCAGATTATGGCCCAAATGTAGGGAGTGTCTCTAGCCTTTTGTTCCAAGGAAGCTAATCAGCCTGCCGACTGGGTTGCGAAGGCCTACCAAAATGAGTCTCTGAGCCCGAATTGGATTTCCAATCCCTCCATCCTTTTTGGTATTTGTTATGTTATGATTTTGAGTCCTCTTGTGGTCTACTTTTAAGTTATCAGTAAAATTAAGACACTTTTGTGATAAAAAAAAATCCTATTTACATCATCAAATTTCGGTAGCATTTATGATGATAGTTGCGAGATCAATACCACCCTTATCAGAAATTTATTTTACATTCATTACAACAAGGGCTATTGCCCGAACTCATTTTTCTAAAATTTATGAACAATAAGAAAGTTTGGTAAAATAGAATTTCTGTAATTGAGTCACATTATCACAAAGTTTTGCTGGAATTGGAATAAACTCTTCACACTGATTAGATGAAAGATTAATTATCTCACTTAATTAAAGTTAATTTTCTCTAAAGAAAAATTTAACATAAGCTCGAATAAATTACTAATTGGGGTGAAATTTGAATAGTCTTCAAAGCTAAAATCACTTATTGAGAATATTCATTTAGTTTTTCTACGGGAAGTTCTATGATCCCGCAACTGAATTTTCGAGACCGATCCGGCAGCTTGCGTGGACTGTTTGGATTAATTAGGAAAGATACTAGGGATTAGTATTGAGAATTTGAGAGAATGTAATTGAAAGAGAGAGATAGAGAGTATTCCTCGAGAAAAAAAATGAGCAAATGAACAACTATCTAATTATGCATTGACAAAACTTGGATCAATGATAGGTTATCCATCCGACTCGTCATGGCCACAGGCCGGTTTTGGCTCGGAACCGGCCCGTTGACCGGGCCCGCGGTTCGAAACCGGAACCGGCCCGTGGCCTACGGGCCCGGTTCCGGTTCCAAATTATTTTTAAAAAAAAAATAATAATGAATATTTTTTTAAAAAAAGTTCATTATTTAATTTTTTTTTTATAAAACAAATTGAACTCTAATTGCCATGCATTGTAAGTGCATTGATATCCAATTACAATGCTTGGCTTGAGTGTATTGAACTCTAATTACAAAGCTTAGCTTGGCTTTTATAAACAACCCTTTTGATGGTCTCTTCATTCCCATTCGATGTGGGACTCTCGGCTTGCCTTGAACACCTTCAATGTGAGACTCTTGGCTTGTCTTCATGTAAATGCCAAGAGTCGCACATCGAATGGGAATGAAGAGATCATTAAAGGGGTTGTTTATAAAACCCAAGCCAAGTCATGAGTATGTGAAGTTGTATGCCTTTTGTGGCTACGATCCTTTGCTAGTTAAGAGCAAAGGGTTCCATTGGACCGCCTAAAACCGGACCGGACCAATGGTCCGGTTCCCGGTTCTATGATTTGCCGGTCCGGTTCCTAGTTCTAAAATTAAAGGACCGGTCTTACCGGTTCGGTTCCCGGTTCCGACCGGGAACCGATCACCCCTATAATTTTCATTTTGATTATAATTTATATTGAATAATTCATTATTTCATATTTTTATAATTCATTATTTTTTTATTTCATAATTTATTTTTTTAATTTTTAAATTACGAACCGGAACCGGCCGGTTCGGAACCGGAACCGGAACCGGCTGGTTTGGAACCGGAACTGGAACCGGCCGGTTCCGAACCAGAACCGGAACCGCTAGGGGCGGTTCCGGTTCACACATGGCCACGAACCGGAACCGCCGGATCCGAACCGGAACCGGCCGGTTCCGAACCGTGGCCATGACTACGTCCGACCTCCGGTTAACCTAATTTCTTTGCCACTTGATAGTTTGTAACTGGAATTATCTAGAAAAGTGGTTCAACTTTCGAGAAAGTGTAGGGATTGCGAATTTCTAGGAATCATGCTAAATGGACAACCAAGGTGAAAACTTATAATATTTTGTTCATTTAATATCCAATCGTCGTGATTCTTATGGTGTCAGAGAGCTTAATAGGGAGTTAGGAGGCTGGTTGATGGCAATTAGGGTCGGCTTTTGGCATTAGTAAAGGTAGAAGGCTAGATGGTTACTGATATTTTTCGCCTTGAATGTTTTTGGAGGCTCTAATACCATAAAAAATGATTGCAAAGTTAAAAGGACAAGTTCCATATATACACGCACAAGTGTTTTTTTACATAATCAAAAATAAAATAAAATATAATCAAAAGCAAACAAAGTAAATATATACGGTTGAGATTAGTGGTTATTAGCTCAATCTTAGGATTCACAATTGAAGTTTTAAATTAGGAATTTCATCCCTATATTAATACTAAATGTTGGAAACAAAGAACTACATAAACTTTGGAAATTTAGAGTGAGAGCACAAATATAAAAAATGGAGGAAGAACTTCTTATTAGAATGCTTTACGAGCCCTTCGTTCTTGAAGGTGAGCTATTTTATTTTTCTTCACTAAATGCTACCGTGACATTTTCTTATTTCGAATTCAATCTTATATGAGTGGAATACTCCACGAATTTTTCTTTTTTTATTGGGATTGGACGGGTTTCTCAGAATCGGGTTTGGTTTGCCAACTGCAGTTCTTTTCCAACCAAGAGACTAGTAATCAAAACTTCAGCCATACAGATCTTGCAAACCTCAGTATCTTGAAATAACTACCTCAAAACATGGCAAGAACATCTGGAAAATGAATGTGTACCAATGACAAAATCGGAAAAACAGAGGGAAAAAAAAAAAATAGCAGAGGCCAGTTGAAAACAAATTGGAAGAAGACGAAGGTGCTCAGCCGAAATGAACGAATGGATGGAGAGATTTTGTCCTCATGGAGATCGGATTAACGAGATCATATATGTGAATCTCATCATCATCGCACCTTCTCCTCTCAAACGCACACCCAGAAGGAAACAAACAGAGCCTCAGCCTAAGAGACCGAGGACGAATGAGTCGTCCGCTGCTCTCAAGCTCGCCGGATTAGGGTTTCTGGGTCTGGCTTTCCTCGCGTTTATGTAGCCACCACAGAGTGGGACGAAGCTGGTTTTTTTTTTTTTTCTTCCTGTGTGGTCCCGATTCTGAGGAAATTTGCCTTCCCGTCCTCGCGAAAAGATGATATTACACTTTCAGTCCCCGTACTGTTCGGTGTGTCGAACTTTACCCCATTTTTTTATGTATTTTTTCTCCGGTTCTAATTGACGGAAATTGTGCTGTCGACACCGACAGTTGACGTCCGCTTACATTACAATTTGTAGTCCCTTAAAAGGGAAAAGTCGCGCTTTTGGTCAATTGCACTTTCGGCATTGATCGATTTTAGTCCCACGCATCGTGTTTTCTGTTGATAATATTGGTCCTTTTGTGGTTGTAATATATTTCAACGACGATTGTTAAATGCTTCATGCCTCTATGTAAGGCTTTTCTTTTCTAAAGTCTATGCTACAAATGTTCCTATAGATCCTCATGTGCTTCATTTGCCGCAGTCGAAGATAAAGTTGCCAATGTTGCATATGTGGAGGAATTACTCTAATAAGATTGTGAATTTCGTTTTTTTGCGAATTCGTACGTGTGGTCGCTTAGTGTAGGCTGAGCATTTATATTAAGGGTGTGTTTGTTTGAGTGAAAAAGTTCTCCGTGAATTGATATTATGGACTTTCAAGCATTTGGTTTGCTTAAAATAATCAGTCAACGGAAAATAATTTATTGTCAAAGAAAACATGCATGCTTAAAGTTAGAAAGATGAATTTCCCAATCTGAAAAGTAAAAACGATTTCTCAAAAAGTATTTTCCTTCCTCACGAAGTTTTCTCCCAAAACAAACACACTCTAAGTTTTGAATGAAAATATGATGGAAGTACTTAAATCATCACCAAAGATTTATCACGCGAATTAGTATTAGTTATCGTGAAACATTTTTCATCAAGTTTTTTGGATTGTAATTAGCTTAGATAGTTACGGAGAATCAATGGTCTATATGGAGTGGAATTGGCAGATGAGCCAAATTAAACACCCCAAAACTTAGGGGGGGGATCAAAGTGAATTTTCAGTAAACTCTAAATGCTGCCAATTTCATAAAGTTTCTCAGTTTTTCTCCCCCCTCATAAAGTGCATATTCCATTTCATCCCAAGTGTATCTTCTTTTTATAGACAATTTTCCAATTTCCTTCCTTCCTTTCCGCGTTTGTTAATTCTAATAAAAAGTGCCGAAAACACTCCTCACTTTGCATGTAAATCTCCATTTTGGACCCACAATTCTTTCAAGATCACTAGTTTGATTTAGACTTGATCAATTAGACTTGATCAACGACTCAGCCTGAACAGACAAGATTGCCTATTTAAGTTCAAAATTCTTTGCCCAAGCTGACCATGGTTTGAAAAATATTAAATTGCCCTTATAAAGTGAACGTGCTTGGGTGGGCCCAAGCGGGCTGATGTGGTAGGGCTTGAGCCCAAGAAAGAGATTGCTTGCCTAGACGCACTCGCGTTGTGCTCCAAGCCTTGTTGGGCTTGGGCACACCTAATGAACCCAACAAAAGCGTCAAATCCAAGATTAGGTCTAATTTGCTTCCAGAGCTTTTGTATTTTCCATCGATATGAAATAGTAGTAGTTACATTAGTGGCTTTACTATGAGGTCAAGATTTTCGTTCCCAATGCCCTCTTTCAACATTCATGAACGAAAACACCTTAATTACAAAAAAGCCTAGCCCTAGTTTCATTTTCTTTATGTTGTCTCCCTATCAATTCTAGTCGTCACTCGCAGATATCAAGGTTATATTGTAACGGATTGCATGGAGGTTGACTACGTTGACAATATTGAAAACTTTAGAACAAAATTGACATCCTTACAGTAAGTTTTATGACTGATTTGTAATCATCCCATTTAGAAATATCACGAAATGAGTGTTCACATACACAAACCTTAGTTCGTGGGTTTGAATTGAGATGGTTGTTGGCATTGATCTCTAGTCGCATTGCCATAGCCTATCCTATACACAACCCCACTCTCTTTGGTAAATGACCTAGGGGTTGGCTCACAAATCGAAGGGGTGAATTCTACTGTAACGTTTAATGCATTATTGACATTCGAAACGGGCAGCACAACGATGTATTTCTAAACATAAGATCCCTCTCAAATCTAGGTAATCTCCAAGCCAGCAACCTCAAATCAACAACAAGGTCACCATGGTTGACACACGCGCAAAGGCAGAGAACGCCAGTGCAATCCTTGTCAGTGACGTAACCAAAACCCAACTATTGGGGCCTAGGTGTGTCGAGCCCAACATTAAGGAATCAAGAATTTAGGGCCCAGGATGAGGAAATGAGAACTCCCGGGCCTCAATCTCACGAACCAGGCCCAAAAGACTATCCCTACTTGATTGCTGACCTTACCAATGCAACGTAGAACATAAAGCAAACGGCCATTCCCTCTAGCCCTTGAGCACGCATCACCTGCCTCTCCCATCTCCAATTGGGATTTGGGAGCGCAATTTTTCAATCAATCTACTATATACACTAATATAAATATGGGCCATTATTAATGGAAACCTATGTGGATGCCTTGGGAGTCTTACCGGATTTAGTTTAATGTGTACACTGTATTTATTGAATTATTTTTTTTGGAATTTGAGGCCGTTTCGGCTTAGGGATGAATCTCACACGAATTACGACCATAAGAGGATGCACGGAAAAACTACCGATGAACAGTGAGGTTTTTCTACTAGGAACGTCAACAAATTAGGCTCGTTAAAGCCTTTTTACAGTTCTCACGTTTGACTTAATCATAAAGATCTCGTTTGGTTTCGTTGACAAGAAATCTATAAGTTGATTATTATCATAAAAATCGCATTCCATGAGATGTTGATCTTTTTCAATAGTTTGGATGACTCAAAATTTTAGGATAGGGATCCTTGAAATATTAGACCTTAAGGAGAGAATATATCATTTTTCTTTTCTTTTCTTTTCTTTTTTTTTCTTCTATGTTCTTGTTACCTTAGACATGGCCACGGTTCGGAACCGGCCGGTTCCGGTTCGGAACTGGCGGTTCCGGTTTGTGGCCATGTATGAACCGGAACCGGCGGTTCCGGGCCGGTTCCGGTTCCGGGCCGGTTCGGAACCGGCCGGTAAAAATTAAAAAAAAATTATGAAATAAAAAAAATAATGAATTATCAAATTATGAATTATTCAATATAAAATGTAATCAAAATGTACATTGTAATCAAATTTGGAAAAAAAAAAAGAGAGAAAGAGATGGGGCTTGAACTTAATGAATTACCATTAAGCGCCTTACATATCTTCTTGGGAATAGAAAAATCAAAATTCATGTAGTTTTTTTATCCTTAGTCGTCGCTACCCGTTCCGGTACCGGTACCGGTAGTGGTGGTATTTCCGTTGTCAAAGAATTCGGATTCATTATTCCGATCTATCTCTTGTTGTCGATATTGAGCCTTCGTCCAATCATCGACGCAAGCCTGAGCCTCCACTGATTCCGGAACTAATCTTGAACGTTGGTTATCCAAAATATTACCTCCGGCACTGAATGCTTGTTCGACCGCAACTGTCGAACATGGGGTTGCAAAATTTTGTTTTGCAATAAGAGAAAGGATTGGGTATTGGCTTGCGTGCCTCTTCCACCAATCCAAAATTAAAAAACCTGTACTACCTTCGGATTCAGAAAACTCAAAGGAAACGGTTAGATACATCTCTAATTCAGAAATGTTTCCTATTACTCCCTTTTGCTTTTTTCGTCTATGTAATAAAAGTTGGTACCCTCTACTAATTTTACCTGTACTCTCACTTTGTGTCTCGGTAAATTGAGAAGATCCAATATCACCTCCCTTAATACAAAATTCATTATATAATTCTATTACTACGTTTTTAACCTCCATTAGTATGGTTATAATATCTACCGTATTATAATGTAAACATTGATAATATATATGCAAATAATCACATAAACCATCTAATTTGCAACGTGGATAAAAAACACAAGCAACTAAATAAATAATGGGAATTTCGCTATAATAATGTAGCCACTTTATTCTCATTGTTATTATAGTATTTTGTAATTCAACATCATTTTCATATTCCTCAAAAACTCCGACAATATTAATACACTCTATAAAAAATAAATGCGTAGTAGGATAATAAACACCGGACAAAATATAAGTTGCATAATTAAAAACCTTTAAAATATCTAAATTTTTTTGCAAATATCTCACTCTTGTGGGTATAAATTAATCTGAGGTATATTATTAGAAATGAATGCACATAATCAATCTTTATATGCAAAAGATTCATTAAGCAAGTGGAAAGTAGAATTCCAACGAGTTGGAACATCTCTTGGAGATTTTCTTGGACTTTTTCCATTTGCTTTACAAAATTTACTCTGTTCTTTCATTTTTTGGGGATGTTTCCATAAAAATTGAATTGTTGTTTTTTGGTTTAAGAAAAATATCAAGAGTTTTCAAACCATCTTGTATACATAAATTTAAAACATGACAAACACATCTAACGTGAAAAAAATTTTCGTCAAAAGCGAGTCTACAAATATTTTCTAAATCGGCAATTGAAACGGTATTTGCCGCGGCATTATCAAAACCAATTGAAAAAATTTTGTTAAGCAAACAATATTCTTCTAAAATTTGCCTAATTATTTTATAAATATTATTTGCCGTATGCTTACCATCGAAAACTCTAAATGCGAGGACTCTTTTTTGAATATTCCAATTGTCATCTATCCAATGACATGTTATGCCCATGTAAGAATGAATTTGCCAATGATCACTCCAAATATCACTACCTATATGCACACATCCATTAAATTGCATAAAAAAGTTTTGTAAATCTTTTTTTTTCATTTTTGTAAAGATCTTTAATTACTCGTT